TTTCAAAACTGTATTCTTTGGAACGATTCTTAGGAAAGATTTAATTTTTAAATAGAAGTTAAGAAGTTATATTTTCACGGAATGAAACTTTTTTAAAATTGAACAATCGATTTTTTAAAAAAAACTAAATTGAACCTTTTCTTTCGACACGTAATATTTTCTAACTTTTCCAAATAGTTTTTCTAACAAAAACTTTTTTTAAAACCAATTTATTGCAGATTAACTTTTATTGAAGTGAAAAACCCGAAAAAAAATTACATATTCTTCAGTTCCGGGAACAAAGGAAACCTTAGTCATATTTATTTTTTAGAATTTGGAAACTTCTTTTTTTTATTGATTTGCTTTTGAGGCAGAGTTTATTCGAAAAAACTTTTATTGTCCCGATCTAGAGTACATGATAATTATAGTTTGTTTAACACAATTATTGTTCATAAAAGTTTATCAAAACAAAATAAGTATACCTTTTTTATTTAAATAATAGAAGTAACAAATTGGAGAAAATATATAAAAATACATGATCATTTAAATTTTTTTGCAAAATATTTAAATTATTATTTTTTTCAGAGTTTTCGATTATATCGCTTTTCTATATAAGAGAAAAAGTAGAATGCGATTGCATTTGCCTTTTTTTTAATACATAGGTTTTTTGAGTTTTGTCAACTGCTTAATTCGAGACAATTACATTAAATTTATTAATGCTGATTAATTAAATTTATTAATTAAATTTAATTTATTAATTAATTAAATTTATTAATGCTGATTAAATATAAAAATTTATTGTTAAGATATTGTGTATTTAATTTACATTCCACGTTTTTAATGATCAGGCCATTTGAAGTAAAATTTAATAGAAAATTAGTAAATAGGTAAAAAATATTTTAATTCAAATTTTTTTATTCTATGCTTAACAGTTACGTTAAAATTTTTAAAATTGTTTTAAAATATAGATATTTTATAGAAATAAAATTAAACTTCTGTATATTCGTCGCATTTAACGTTTTGATTCCTACTTTGAGGCTAAGATAATTTACACAAATAAATTTAGAAAATCTCATTAAAGCAGACTAAATTATTTTATTTAAGTTATTATAAGGACTTGTTGAAAACATGCCCTGGTGGGTTGAGACTGTAGTTGTCTTTAAATACAGGTTGTGCAAACATTTACTATGTTTATTTAATTTATTTATATATTGTTACACACATGTGCAGGCCCGCCTTGTCATTTAAAAAAAATATGTAATGGCAATTAACCCATTAACGCAGACGTTTTATTAGATAATTTTCATACTTTTTTCATTATTTTGGGTCAAAATAAGCAGAAAACATAAAATCTAGTATTTCAATAATTGATAGTTATAAAATACAGTATGAAACACCGTTGTCTTTTTCTCTGCGTTGAAGGTAAAATATTCTTAATATAATTTTTTAATCAATAATTAATAGTTAATAATATAATTAATAATTTTCCAATTAATCATTTTTTTCAATTTTCACTTTTTTGCAGTAATTTAAAGAAGGCCCTTATTGCTGAATGTGAATGAACTTATAGCGTAATCTATGTATTTAAATACTAATCGCCTTAGTTTTTCGAATGCAAATTTCAAAACATAATTATGAAATTATGCTTTTAAATGTATAAATAAAGAGCTGCCATTACATTGAAATACTAACAGCATAAAAAAGCACTGTTTAGAGTTCAATAACAGCTGTTAGCTAATGTTTCCACAGCTGTTTATCTCAATTTGCACTCGGCGTGTTTTCTTCCACTAAAACGTTTTTTTTTAATTTATTTTTTTTAGTTTCTCTATTCTAGGCATTCGTTTCTCGCTTCAAAGCGACACAATTCTGTCGTAAGCACCATCTTTTGTAATTAAAGTTTTTTTGTGTTTATCTGATTCTTCAGTTATATGAAACATTCTGTCGCAATTCAGTTTGTACTTTTTCAAGCTGAACTCACATTAACGCGAAATAGATTTATTTGCTTAGACACAATCAAAATTGCCTCCGTATTGAAAATTGAAAGAGGGAAATTGGCCCTCTCTGGCCCCTAATATTTATATTAGGGACCAGAAAAATCCCTAACATAAATTTTATTTTTCTTTATTAACAACAATTTTTATCCAGTTTTTTATTGGTATTTCCACGGATTTCGTAATATTAAAAAAAGTTTTTTTTGTTGAAAAATCTTATTAAACACATTACTTTCTGATTCATAGAACAATAGACCTTTATACAGATTAGTTCTTGTCGATTCTGTATTCTTTGTCGAAAAAGTGTATGCATTGGTGTTATCTGATTTAAATGTGGAAAATATTAAAAAAAACTTAGATATGAGGAAGTAACTAGTAAGTCAGAATGAGATCTATCAAAACCACTTGAGATTGCCTAATCCTATTTGGAGGGTTTCCAATAATTAGTAGGGATTTATTGGATTTTAACTTTNAATGATGCCTAGAGGTCATTATTACGAATTGGCTATCTCAGATTTTCAATGTCGCAATCACAGTAAAATTTGTGTGCTTTCTCTCAAACTTGGACTTTTATGCTCCAGGCAGATGACGTAAGCCGAGTGCAGCGCCACTAATTTGCATATTGCAATTTTACTCAGCTACTCTTAGTGGACAACATATGCAAATTTTGCACGGTTTGGCTTACTTTTGAAAGAGTTATCGCTATTTTTGTGATTTTTCCTTAATTTATGATAACCAGTGTATAATATTGCTCATAGTTTAAAATGTTATTTTTGTATTTAGATACTAAGAGCATTAGTTTTTCCAACATTAATTTCAAATTTCAAAACATAATTATGAAATTATGCTTCTAAAATGTTGACGTTTCGTAGAAATAATCTATACATAATAATATATGCATAATAATATTTACATAACATGAATAAAAAAAACAATGCTTTGTTTAGGGTTCAATAAAAACTGTTAGCAAGTGTTTTTAAAGTTGTTAAGCCCAATTTTCATTCGACCATGTTTCCTTTCACTATAATTTTTTTTTTTTTTGGTCTTTTCATTCAAGGCATTCTTTTCACACTTCAAAACGACACAATTCTGTCGTAAGGACCATGCTTTGAAATTGCCATTTTTTTTTGCGTTTTTCTGATTCTTCAAAAATGAAACATCAATTCAGGCTCATTCTGTCTCACTTAAGTTCATATTTTTTCATGCTAAACTCGTGTTATTTACTAACGCAATATATTTGTATATGCTTTGCTAAAATCAAATGGCTTCAGTGTAGAAAATTAAAATAAATAAATATATAAATAGAGGTAATTATTAAATCTTGAATGGAATTTTTGGAGATATTAAATGTATTAGAAAAATTTTAGTTACAAATCAAAAAAAGAATTACAATTAAGACTCATAATTTATAGGTGGAAAAGACTGACAAAATTTCTAACTTGCGTATAGTATAGTTTAAAACAATTGAGTAAAAATGATAGATTATTGTTGCAATTTTTGTGTAATTCAACTGTTTTAAAAAATGTAGTGTCAAATTAAAAAAACAATACTAAGAAATTTCCCCCTTTTCCTTCTTTTCAATTTGGGGTTGGTTTTAAAATAATTATGCACATTTTTTTGAAAGTAAAGATGACGAAGTGAAATTTATGTATGGAGATAACTTTTCAACTGGTCTAGAACAGATAGTTGTATTCCTACTTTACATACAAGATGCTTTAAAATAAGCTTTTCAGTCATTTAATTTTAAAAAGGCAGACGAAATAGTCATGAAAGTCACTATGTACAATAAAGTGGCCATAACCCTTTTAAATGTGAAGAAAAATCGCATGTATTTATATGATATAACGAACGAGTAAAGCAATGACCAATGACGTCGGAAATACTGTCTTATAAACGGAGTTTAACGACGGTTTATAAAACCCCGTCATAATTTTCAAGCCTGATGAATTATACTTGTTGTTGTTTGAAAAATATATATCAACAGCATACGCATAATGAAGATAAGGACTGAAATGTAATACTTGTAATGTAATAAATTTAATAAAATAAATATGCTCGTTCACGTTAGTAAGGTCATGGGTTCGATCCCCACCGGCCGAAGACTCCCCGTGTAGTAAATGGCGATTGATGCACGTTAAATCTGTCGAGTTACAAAATCCTCCATGCTGCCATAACAAATCAAACCTCTGGGGGTACTGATCAAGGAGTTTCCTTATCTTGAGGATTGTTTTCAAAATTATAAGGCTACGGAGTTGAACATTAGTAGTCGCAAACCCAAAATTGGGTCGGCTGTTCAACGAAGGTTATAAAATATAAAACAAAATAATCAATACAAGTGCCCTGGTGGCTCAGGGGATAGAGTGTTCACTCTCCAATAAGGTGAACCGGGTTCGATACGAATTCCGCATCCGGCTCGCACCGATCACAGTGTTGACGTAAAATATCCTCAGTAGTAGACGGATCATGGGTTATAATCCCCTTGCCCTCAAACTAATATGTGGGAGGTTTTCGTTGTTTTCTTCTCTATGTAACGTAAATACGGGTTAGTTGCATCAAAAAGTCCTCGACAAAGGCTAATTTCTCCCAATACTTGATCCAGGAGTTCCCTTTTCTTCTGGATTGTGCTCAAAATTGCGAGGCTACGAAGTTTAATATTAATAGTCGTAAACCTAAAATTGGGTCGGCTGTTCAACGACGGTTATAGAAAAAAATAATCATACAATGAGGGGGTTCAATAATAAAATTTAAAGAAAAAAAAAGAAAAGAAACATCACATAACCACCTCTGGATTAAATTTTAACTTTGCACACATTCAGTTTTAGTCAAGGGTTTCTAATTTCTTAGAAATAGAGCTTAGTTTTCAGTTTGATTACCGGTAAACGGAATGAATTATATGAATTGCTTGCATTTCTGAGTGAAATACGTATACTACTGTATACATTTCATTCATTTTTTGTATAATATCTATTATTTTAAGCCAAACAGCCTAATAGTTTAAAACTAAAATTGATATATATTTTATTTCTCTAGCATCTTCTTGCCTTTGAAAGCAGTTTAGAGGGTCATGTGATTTTAACCTCAGCATTAGACTTTGAAACGTTGCCAAATTTTACAGTTACTATTAAAGCCAAGGTATGCAAAATGTCGCAATCTTTCCTCTGAAATGAATAATTCTTACTTTATTTGCACACTAATGTTTATCATACTTTTTTAGGACCAAGGAACGCCTCCTCAAGTTTCAGTTACTACATTAACAGTTTGGATTCAAGACGCAGATGACCAAAATCCAAGATTTTTAGCTGAAAGTTATAAAGCTATTCTACCTGAAAGGCCCATTTCGGTGAGAGCAATGTTTAGCATTATAATATTTATGGGTTTGGTTTTATGACCAACGTAGTAGTCCATTTTAAGGGTTTTAAATTATCAGCCAATAAATTAGCCAAATATCAAAAGTATTCGCCAATTTTCTAAAGTCTTCGCCAAATGCGAAGACTTTTGAATAACAATTTTTTTTAAATATATTTTTCTTTACAACAAAAAAAATTATTCGCCAATACTTTTACTAAAACACAATTTTATTCGCCAAATTTACGATTTTATTGCATTTAGTGAGGTGTCGAATGCTTAACGCAATCGAATGCAAACACAGCCTTTGATTTTTTTTCCATTTTTATTTTTGAATAATTCCAATATTAATACTATTTAATTTAAAAGTATAACGAATGAAATTGCAAAAAATTTAATTCGAATTATTCTAAATGAGTTTATTATAGTTATGACAAGGTCTCTAAACACTACAAAAATGGATACTTAAAAATCATAAAAATTTCTTTATTTTTGTCGAAAACTTTCATTTGAAATGCTCCAACAAATATTTTTTTCAAACTGAAAAAATTACTGTGTTCACATTTTTGATCTGAATTTCGGCAAAACTGCAGTGATTCCGTAATTGATTAGGAAATACGGCATTGATTATATGCAAAAAAAGCTCTCTGTCGTTTATTTTATTCTGACTCTTGTCAAACTCAAGCTTTGCTATTTTTCCTTTTTTATTTTGAATAATTCTAATATCAATGCTTCCATCTAATTTAAATTATTGTAAGTTTATTGATTATAGTTATAACAAGGTCTCTAAACACTGCAAAAATAGATACTTAAAAATCATAAAAATTTCTTTATTTTTGTTGAAAGCTTTCATGCGAAATGCTCCAAGCAAATATTTTTTTCAAACTGAAGAAATTACTATCTTCACATGTTTGATATGAATTTCGTCAAAACTGTACTGATTATGTAATTGATTAGGATATACAGCATTGATTCTAAGCAATAAAAAGAAAAGCCTTTTTTCGTTTATTTTATTTCTATTTTTGTCAAACACAGCTTTTTTTCTATTTTATTTAAAATTAAAAAGATTGAAATTATTAAAGATTTAATTCGAATTATTCTAAATTATTTTTTATTATAGCTATTACAAGTTCTCTAAACACTGAAAAAATGAATATTTAAAAATCATAAAATTTATTTTTCTTGTCGAAATGTTTCATGGGAAAAGGTTCCAAGAAAAAATGTTTTCCTCAAAGTGAAGAAATTACTATTTTTACTTGTTTGATCTGAATTTCGTCAAAACTGTACTGATTACGTAATTGATTAGGAAATACAGGGTTGATTCTAAGCGAAAAAGCTTTTCGCGTTTATTTTATTCTTACTCTTATCAAACTCAGCCTTTGTTATTTTTCCCTTTTTAATTTTGAATAATTTTAACTTTATTGCTTCCATCTAATTTAAATTATTCTAAGTTCATTGATTATAGTTATTATAAGGTGTCTAAACACTGTAAAATAGATACTTAAAAATTAAAAAAAAAATTGTGCTTTTCAAAGTCGTTTCATTGGAAACGCTCCGAGCAAGCATTTTGTCAAATTGAAGAAATAACTATCATCACTAGTTTGATGATATGAAATTTGTCAAAATTGAACTGATTTAAGTATTTGATTAGGAAACAAAACATTGATTCTAAGCAAAAAGTTTTTTCTCGTTTATTTTATTCCAATTTTTATCCAGCTCAGCCTTTTTTTCCTATTTTATTTAAAAATAGAACGAATGAAATTATAAAAACTTTTAATTCGAATTATTCTAAATTATTTTATTATAGTTATGACAAGGTCTCTAAACACTGAAAAAATTGATATTTAAAAATCATAAAAATTATCAATTTTATCGAAACAGTTTCACGAGAAATGCTCCGAGCAAACACTCTGTCAAATTGAAAAAATTACTATCTTCACTTATTTCATAATCTGGATTTAATAAAAAATTAAATTAACCGTTTACTTAATTGATTCAAAATTTTAGCATAAAACAAAGGTATTATGATTAAATGGTTAATAAGTCATCTTAAAGAGTCAGTTTCAGGAAGGCTGCTTAACTACCAGGAGCATTAACCCCTGCACCATGCCGACACGCAGTGTTTACATTTTTGAACTGAAATAAAAATTGTTATATCGCTCCCAAAATGCATTGAAATGACACGCTATTTAAGAAGCAGTTTCGTCCGATATTCGTGAGTTTACGTTTCGTCAAAAAGAATATGTCATCAAAAATAACGAAATGCCACTCAAAAATTGTTAAATCGTCAAGAAAGAGAGTTTTACTTCTGTGAGTTAAAGTGATTTTAAATATTAATAGGTCAAGCATTGCAGCTCAACAATAAAATTTAGTAGATTTGTTGGTTTCTTCGGCAAACTAAAGAGAATCATCCCAATTCATTTAAAGACTAAAACTTATTTTAGATATAAAAATTTTCGGTCGAAAATCAAATATTTAATTTTTTCAAACGCGTTATCAATTTACAAAAATTCAAAATTTTGTTGCTGACGGCAATTTTGTAAAACACAATTGTATCTGTGGCTCTTAAACAATAATAATAATAATAATAATAATAATAATAATTATAATTAACATTTACCAAAAATCTCTTTTTTGTACGCCTTGCTTATTTTCTAAAAATTCATGTATACGTTACATGTAAGNAAAAAAAAAAAAAAAAAAAAGACAAGTAAATGCAGATATTTTCACTGTATCATTTTTACAATGGCATTGCCCTTTCTTTATACGATATACAGATTCATTAAATTAACATTGCATTTTGCTTCGTTGCATATATTTTTAATATTAAGGAACAAATACGCCTCATTATTAAAAGATTGCTAATGTAAGTTCAATGCCCCTAGAAATTTGATTAAAGTAAGTACTAAGTAAAAGTACCTTCAGATGTTCTTAAAGCAGAGAAATGTCGAGCAATTGGCGACTATTGTGCCATGTTTTGGCACACGACTCTGAACAAAAAGCTCCCTCAAGCGTATGCCTCCATTCTTCTATTATAACTTTGTCCCACGAATAAAGGACTTCAAAAAGCGATTTATGATGTGTGTGTTTTTCGTTACGGTTACTTAGTTTCCTGATTCGCCTTTTCTACATGCCCTTCCGCAAAAAAATTTAATAATTTTTCATTTTTTTGAGAAAAATAAGGCAAAAATACTATTTAAAATGTAAACATTAAAATATATCCAAGGTTTTATGTAATGTACACTGTATGCAAGAAATCTATGTAGATAAAAAAGAAATAGTGTTGAGGAATTTTTTTTCAGGAAAATTAAACACATATTTTCTTCAAGGTTGCGAAAGGAAAACTGTTACTTAATTTCTTGATTAGCCTTTTTGGCATGCCCTTCCGCAAAAAATTGAAATAATTTTTCATTTTTCGAGAAAAAAGGTGAAAATACCATTTAGAATGTAAACATTAAAAAATATTCAAGGTTTCATGTAATGTACCCTGGATGTAAGAAATCTATGTAAATAAAAAATAGTGTTTATTTTCAGGAAAAATACATTTTCTTCAAGGTAACGAAAGGAAAATGAAAAATGCAAACATGAAAAAAATATCTATGAATAAAATTCAATGATGAAACTTTTATTTAATTGGAAAGATGACAAATTGCAATTAGATATGGGACAAAATATTTCGGAAATATATCTTCCTTTTGATGCAGAATTTCAGTTGGATATTTCAATATGAATTTAACGAATGTTTATACAGTAATGTGAGCGTGAAGCAGTTAAAATTAAAATGAAATTAGCTAATTTTAATATTTATACTGTGCTGAAATCAAGTACTGTTTAGTAATTGTTCTTAAAATTTTGTTTTAATTTTTTGAGTTTTTTAAACAAACAATTTCTTATGAATTCATAAAAATATTGAAAGAAATATTTTAGATTTTCAAGTAAAACAATCACTTGATTGTATTAAAATATAGATTTTATTATTAAAATTTAAATTGAGTTATAAGATAAAAGAAAAAAATGAAGGGCTAAACCTTTATGTTTAAATAGTAGTGTGCTGCGCTGTAACCAGGCACTGTTTAGTAATTGCTCTTAAAATTTTGCTTGAATTTTGAAAAATGTTTTTGTTTAAAAAAAAAGCCATTTTTTATGAATTTATTAAAATATTGAAAAAAATATTTTATATTTTTAAACAAAGAAATCACTTGATTGTAATAAAATCTCGATTTTATTATTCAAATTTAAATTGAGTCATAAGATTAAAAAATGTTGAAGGACTAAAAATTTCTGTTTAACTAGTATAATCTAACCTTTTACTTTTTAATAAATAGTAGAATCTAAATTTTTGCCTTGAAACTAAATAAAAATGTGTAATAAATAAACAATAAACGCAAACAAAAGAATATTTAATAAAAGCATAACAGAATATTTCAAAACCATAAGCGGATAAAGTTATTAAAAAGGATAAGTGTGTGAATTGGGTTCCCGTTTCATTATATCCGTTTCTTTGTTTGCATCTCTAAGCCGAATAAACTTTCAAATGTAAATTTTTCTGTTTAATTGTATCCTCACCATAAGAATAATTAGGTTGCCTTTATTTTTAAAATAAAAAAACAGTTTTCCGATTTTGTGCATAATAAGTATTCAGAAAGATGTTGCTAGAGTTATTTTTTAACAGTAACTTAATATAAATAGATATTTAGTTTTTATAATTTAATTAATTTAAAGATGCTATTAATATCCTTGTCATCAGCAGCAATGCATTGAAAGACAGTTAACATTTTACTCTAAAATAAAGAACAATTAAGCTGGTTTGTGGAAATTATGTTTTCATTTTTACTTTTCGAAGATTTTAATTCTGTGCGATAATAATACTAGTTTGACTTCACCTGGTCTATGACTTGTAAATAGTTTAACTTATTAAAAAAAAATAATTGTATTTAAAATAAATTTTTTAGAAACTTTTTTATTGTGTGAGTCTTCATGATTTTGAAAGTTTGG